GTTATAGACTTCTTTAGGTAACCCCTAGTGTTTTGAAGTAAGTTTTTAAAAGAACATAATAATTAAATGAATACTCAGAGGTTACTTTTTACATAACTAAACATTCTGCTGCACTTTCCATTTTTAATTTTTAAATATTATTTATTTATTTTTATATATATGGATATATTAACCTACATGTGTGTAGTGCACCTTCATCATGCCCACAGAAGTCAGAAAAGGGCATAGAATTCCCCTGGAACTAGAGTTACAGATAACTGTTAGCCGCCATGTGGGTGCTGGGAGACAAATCGCAGTCCTCTTCAAGAGCAGCCAGCGCTCTTAACCACTAAGGCTTCTCTCCGGCCCCAACTTTCCTTTTTCTTTTTTTTTTTTTTCGGAGCTGAGGACCAAACCCAGGGTCCCAGCTGTTGTTGGCCTTTATGTGATAACTTTGCAGGATAAACTCAAGACGGTGAGACTGATCAGGAGAATGTTGTTCTAGCCCCCTTCCCAGTACACCTGCGCCCTTTCCAGGGCATCTGACACTCAGCCTGGCATAACATCCTGAATGATGAGCATGCCCTGTGTACACGTACACTATGGCATAGCTGCAGTCAGCACAAAGCCCATGAAAGCCTCCTCACTCACCTCCTTAAAGACATCTTGGAAGGATAAACGGGACAAGAAGTAGGCCTGTGGAGTACTGTGTATCACTTACCTCACACCTGGAAGAAAGGGGGAGATGAGACGCCAAAGGTGCTAAAACACAAGGCAGACATCAGAGGGCTGCAAATCAGCAGCCTACAGACCCTCTCCAGTGGACGTGGCCTGACCTACCTGCTGTAAGTCCAGGGTGATGGTGACCCAGTGATACTCCCTCCCATTTTGAATACTGGGACTTTGCCACCAGTTGTTGGTGCCATCAATCGCGTGTGATATTGGGTGGCGTTCTGTTAAAAGAAAATAAAAATACACATTTCTCTCAACTCCAGCTTTACATTATTGAACTTCAAAACTCAGCACAAATGAGAAGTCAAAGTGAGCGCAACATTTACAGATTCTTAACAGAGCTTTTAGATACTTCAGAAAGTATAAATTCCCATGGGTACGGCTGGGACGGAGCTCCTGTGCAAGGCCCAGCACCCACAAAAGATTAAAAAAAATAATATTGAATATCCCCACAGGTACTTTGCTATGAATAGATGAAGTTGCACTTGCCTCTGGGGTTGGTACTGTTGCCATCACAGATCCGGCACTGCGCGTGTCGAACAGGTCGGCCAGGCACGTGTTCCACAAGTTTGCAGAACATCTCGGGCCCCTTCTCACCACAGGTCGCGTTGGTGCTGATGTGAGCATTGCTGGCCAGGTTGAAAATGGCAGGGAACAGGCCTGAAAGGCAAAGGTCAAAAACCAAATCAGCTGAGTTATGCAACCTGTTTCAAAAGTAAACCCAACAGATTGTAAATCCATGTGCTGAATAAAGGAAACCTTCACCCTGAGGCAGGGCACACAGATGGGTCTCAGGCTGCACTGATATGAGGTTAATAGCACACAAAACTCATCTGTGAGCAAGACCCAAAACACTAGATGGAAGAGACGAAGACTGGCTATGAAGGGACGTGAAGGAACTTTCTGGAGTAACATGTTCTACAACTATCAAAGTTTGGGCTTTCTAGACATATGCAGTGGTGAAAAAAACTATGGAATGAGTACACTAGGATTCAGGCCGATTTAAGTAATTTGATGTATGTAAATTTTACGTCAAGTAAAAAAGAATCATAAATATTCATGTGTAATCTCAAATGTTCAGGAGTCCTTGTATCTTCAACTAATTGAAATGATGGATAGAGAGATGGGTTGATGGGCAGATAATTAATTATTAAGAACTAAATGTTAACTGTAGACTCTGGATGAGAAGCTAGGTGTTCAGTGTGTAATTCTATTTCTCTGATTGAAATTTTCATGATAAAATGTTGAAAAACATGTTCAAAGACAAGTTGAAACTTTATGTACTGTCCAAAAATACGTGGCCGCTTTTCTTGCAAGAGCTTGCCACTTCAGAACACAAAGACCCAATTTTTAAAGTTCTCTCCGACTCAATATTACTTGATGCCTTTCTATGGGTCTCTTTGTTTCAACTGATTTTTATCTTTAAGCAGCTGGGTCAGTACCAGATCCAAGCTAGTCAAAAGACAGTTTTTGCATAACTCTAAGAAAAGGCTCTCAAGTAGGGCTCTTTAGAGATTTAATTTTAGCTTCCTAAGAGAGGATAATAGCAGTGAAGATTCTAGAAAGATCCAGAAATTACAGTGTAAACATGGTAGAAGAGGCAGTCCAAATGATGCACTTTGCAAACAGAGAGCAGTGGGAGGGGTCTGGCCTACTGCGGCTTCTCTAATTTACTAGAACCTGACTTTCAAGGATCACAGAATATGATCTGTTCTTTGTAAATAACTTACAGTCAGGTCTGAGGATGTGGCTCAGGCGTAGGGTACTTGCCTAACACAGCCTCAGCACTGCAATACACACATGTGCATATGCGCATACATATATGCGTGTATGTAGTCAATATTATATCTGAGATGTTTCTTTCCAGTTAAACACAAAACAATTTTAATTCTGTAGAAGGAATTCTTGTCCTTAATTTCTTTGATATTTAGGCATTTAAATTATAAAATAAAAATGGTTCTTTTTAAAGAGTTGCTATGTTAAAAAAAACTTATGATGTACCTATTTAAAAAAAAAAAAAAGAAATGGTCTTTCAAAACTTCATCTCATAAATTAGAACTACCCCATAGTTCTACCATAATAGAATGGCCCTAGTTGAGTCAAAGGACTGTTAATAGAAAATACCACCAAATACTTGAGATCACTGCCCTTTTTTTTTTCCATGTGCGTGAGGGGGAGTGAAGGCATGGTCTCCCTGCGCTCTCTAGGCTAGCTTTGAACTTCTGGGCTCAACCAGTCCTACCGCTTCAGCTCTAGGTAACCAGGACTATGGGCATGTCCCACTTCACCCAGCTGTCATATTTTATATGGGGATGTCCTAAGGAGACATGTAATTCATGAGTGTGGTATTTGCCTTGTAGCAACAGCTGATAGTGCTCAACACTAAGCTAAATAACATTCCCTCCCATTTTTTTGCTACAAATGTCCTCATAATCTCATAATCAAAATTTGCTTATGTGCTAATAAAGAATGATACGGTTTTAAACTGTGATGTTTTTATCCAAACAGCTAAAATGGCATTTTTGGTTCTGTACCCCATCACATGTATTGCAAAAGAACCCAAGGTTAGAAGAACTGATTTTAAAGATTCATTTTTCGATTGTGTGTATAGTATATGTCTATATATGAGGCTGTGCATGTGATTGCAGTTGCCTGTGTGGGCCAGAAGTGACAGTCAGATCCCCAGGAGCTAGAGTTACAAGCATTTGTAAGCCCTCACACCCGATATGGGTGCCGGGAACCAAATTCTAGTCCTCTGCAAGAGCAATGCACACTCTAAACCACTGAGAATGCACACTCTAAACCACTGAGCCAGTTCTTCAGCCCCATTAAGAACTGATTTAAAAACGCATTTCTCTATTAACATCTTTTTTCACCAGTGAAGAGATGTTCCTTCTTTCTCCTCATTTGCTCCCTTGAGTGGTAGGCATCAAGAGAACACTCCGTTTTCTGCTCTAGGGAGGTTTGAGGGCCTTGCTTTATTTGGGAGCATGAGGTTGGAAAAAGCCCCCTCACTCCCTTTATACCTCATCAATGTAAACTACTATTTTCAAGTTTAGTTAATAAGCATTAAGCAGTTATTTATACTAGGTAGTTTTAGTTTCCATCTCCCTCCCCAACAACTGAGGATCACCTCCTGCATGCTAGGCAAGTGTTCTAGTGATTTCCTAGCTATAGTCTAGCTTTATATAGGTTTTAAAGAATTCTCAGGCTGGCAAGATGGCTCAGGGAGCAGAGGAGCTTGCCAATTGACCATGCATGCCTGACGACCTGGGTTTGATCCCTGGAACCCATGTAAAGGCAGAAGGAGAGAACTAAAGTTATCTTCTGACCGTGACACATGTGCTGTAGTATGTGTGTACATACACACCTCTCTCTCTCTCTCTCTCTCTCTCTCTCTCTCTCACACACACACACACACACACAAATAATAAGTAATTTAATTTAATTTAATTTAAAAGGATTCTCATATATATATATCAGAGCTAGAACTCTTGTCTACTAGGTCCAAAACTCCAGATATAATCCTTAGTATCACAATAAAAAGAAAAAGGATTCCAATTTTTCCTTACATTGCTAGTCTTCAATATGAAAGCAAAAAGAAATTGTTTTGTTAGTACGGTTGTGCCAAAAAACTTTTAAATGATTAATTTCATAAAAACATCAAAATTGTCTTTTGCTTAAAAAAAATCTTCCTTATCAAAGAAGCTAATATTTAAAAAAATTAAAGCTTACCCCTCACATATATGTTTTACCCTCACTTTATAAGTAATTATTATTCCTTGTTGTCTGGTCACATCTTAGAAGGCAAAAGAAAAAGTTGGAGACAAGACCTGAGAATTATGTTATACAAAGAGTGTTTGTTTGTTTGTTTGTTTGTTTGATTTTTTGAAAGGTCTTTCATGAGGCTGAGTCTGTTCAAAGGCTGTAGAGTACTTCAACTCCAGGCAAGTGTAGGAACATCAAGTAGGCATAGGGACAGGAGATCAAGGAGTGAGAGGGGGATTAGGGATCAAACCCTACCATGAAGGAAGCTTGGTTTAGCACAGATTTTATCAAAGGCAAAAGGGAGCTGATTCGTGTGTGCTACTGTTTCCTTATTGAGTCAGACACCTAATCAATTAGACCACACAGTTTTGTTGAGGCATTAATTCCTTTAGTCATTGTTATTGGAAAACTAACTGGGACTGTTTTCCTCCCATGCAGGACATACACCAGAATAATTCAGCTACCCATGCATTTAACCACTAGCTAAAGACTATTACACCGAACTCCACAGAGCATGAAATAAATTCTTTCCCATTCACTAGTCACTTGTTTAGGTTTCGGGGCCATTTCTGCGAGCATGCCTGGCCTTCTAAAATGCACTTGAGGTCCTGGAAAATTCCTTTATTAACCTTAGGTAAAAAAATTTTATTCAACCTATGGATAAAATTACTATTACATAACTACAACAGCTTCTCTCACAATACCTCTGGCTAGTTGAACAATTCATTACTAGAAGTTTCTGAGTTTTTTTCACCCAATACAATATTTTTTGCATCTTAAAAATAAAGTATCTTGGGGCTGGAGAGATGGTTCAGTGGTTAAGAGCACCAGCTGCTCTTTCAGAAGCTCCAGGTTTGATTCCCAGCACCGACATGGTGACTAACAACCGTCTGTAATCCCAGTTCCAGAGGATCAGATGCCCTCTTCTGATCTCAGTGGGCAATGTATGACATGGGTGTACCTACATACATGCAGGTAATATACTCACACACATAAAAATAAATAAAATATTTAAAAAAGTATCTTATGCCAGGTGTGGTGGTACACACCTTTAACTGTAGCCCTCAGGAGGCAGAGGTGGGTGGATCTCTGTGAGATTGAGGCCAACCCGGTCTGCACTGTGAGTTCTAGGCAGGCTGGGACTAGGGGGACCCTGTCAAATAAATAAAAAATAAATATAATGTCTCAAATGTTGACGGAACTCACTACAGCAGTTCTTTCATTGTCATTTTGCAGACAACCCAGTCAATGCTTCAGACCCTTGCGGTGTGTGTGTGTGTGTGTGTGTGTGTGTGTGTGTGCTTTTATGAAAATATGTGTATTTCCATTTGAAAGAAAAAAAGGCTTTTAAGTTCCACACATTTACCTAATATATAATCAAAATCAAGGTGGTAATCTACAAAGAAAATAATCTGCAATTTTTACTACAAGTATCTTGGTCAGTATTTTCAGATAATTTTTTTTTCTCAGAATGAAATAAAAAAATTAGGAATGTTTTGGAAGGTTGACTCATCTAGTGCCTGGAGTTTTTTGTTTTGCTTTTTGGAAAACAAAGAAGATTTCTGCAAAACAATCAAGGCCAAAGATTCATATGATGGAAAAATTCAAGAAAAGTGGGGATTCCAGTTTCTAAACTGAACAGTCTTGTAGACACTTTGTTCTTCGTTTACTAATGCTCTCATGTTCAATCTTGCTCATGTATCCACTGTACGTCTATTACTTCACTGTAGAAGCCAGAGACGAGGAGATCCAGCATGTTCAGGGTAGTATGGCCATAGAGAGAAGCCAGAAACAAACAACCCAGGTTCTCAGCACTCCTGGAAACATGGCAGTCACCACTGTTGCAGCACTCAGTCTTGGGGTCTAAGACCCTCAGCCCTGAGGACTCTACA